TTCTGACACATTTACGGGATGATTTCAGTAGATTTATTTTGAAAAGTTGCTAGAGTTTTTCGACCTAATATAATTAATATTTTAAATTGCATTTTGTGAAATATTTAAAAGGAGATTCAAGTCTTTCATAATGTGTTTCCCACCAAAGAATAAATATATAAACTTACTTATGATATCCTCTGATCAGAATGGTTTGATTGTGAAGCTTTCACTGTTCTTCTTAACAACATCATCAGCACAAACCCCGGATGGAAGTGAAGTATTCGAATTTCTCCACGTACGACTCGTAGCTTATCTAGTTGGCCTCGATCCTGATTGGTTGTTATTGACTCCTTTTCCATTGTGAATTTTATGTCATCAAAAACGTTCTTGATCAGATTGTAGGTGTTCTCCAGCTTGTCCTTTTCGATCCTGAAACGGAAAGAAATTTGAACATTTCATTTCTACCTTAATCTTTTGGTGATGATGTTTTTCAGAACAACAATGAAAGCTCCCAAACCAAGCCATCCAGCTTAGAGAACAAAACTCCACCATAATCATCCACCTGAGCTACAAATTTTCTCCACCAACTTGTGATTGTATACAACTTATCTATTAAACTATTTTGCTTTTTATGTATAGTGTTTATTACTGTTATGTATGACTGTTTAATCGATCAGCTGATTTAGTACGAATGGTGTATACTGGATGACTATTGAGGGCAGAGATAAACATGAAGGGAAATTGTAGGTGAGGGTCTGTTATACGGTTTAAGAGAGAGAGATTGTTTGATAGCAGATGCAGAACTGAGAAGGCTTCATGAGTTTTTATTCAATGTTCTTTATCAACTAAGTGAGAAACTTTGATGCTGTTAATTGGTTTCATGTCTGATTTACCCAATCACATTGTCACACGTTTATTAATACATAAAGATAAAGCTATCTGAGTACTGTCTACGAGAGCCATAAAAGTCGTGTACATACATCGAAGGGGGTTTATCATCGGTATTCTGTCATTGTATTATTGTATAAATACTGGTTTATTTCACAAATTCATTAGTTAGAAGAACAAATATTCTTGGTAGTTATTTAGTCTCCGTAAATAATGATCCAGTCAATTCTCTGATCAAAAATACAACCAGATTTCATGAAGTCATCTTGTATCGTTCTATTAATTGACAAAGTTAATATGATCAATCTGCTGATTCATGATTTTACTAAGGTTAATAAATATTGACTATTTAATACGAACATTTTGTTTGAATGATAATTCTAGTTAAATGTTCACTACTTGAAAATCTATAATTACTATGATAAGAACTTCATTTCACATAAGCGAAATGAAATGTTTTGATGTTGTTAAGTTGACTATCGATTGTAATTTAATATCTACTTCTATTATATGAAAACTATTTTCATACTAATAAATAGATGAATAAATCTAGTAGTGTGAAATTGAGAAATTAACCAATTAACTTTGTACTTGACTATGGAAAAAAAGTCAAATCAATCCATTAAAAAAATACTCAGTTTCGTAAAAAGATTAATGATATTATACAGTGTGTTCTGTTTTATTCACTGTTAATTAGATTCGAGCTTAGTTATTACGTAACAATTTTGAATTAATGACCATTAAAATGTTGACTTTAAATGTATTTTTTAAATTGACTCAAATTAAATTATTGCATATTGTTGTATATATGTAGATGAAAAATAATTGTACTTTAAGATTTATTGAAATAAAATTGAATATGCTTAAACCAGATAACAGTTATCATCATCAGAAGTATACTAATCAGATGAAACACCATTGTGTACGTGTGTGTGCATGTTTATGTGAAATCATTTGTTTTTTGTTTCGTTGCTAAGGCGTGATATTGAAAATGTTTGTTCCACATTAAATATTATCTCATAACCTAATAATATCAACATACCTTTAGTATGACGGTCGAATGGAAATAATTGAGAAAAAAGCGAGGAAAATCCTTTGACCTCACCGTTTTGCCTTAATTCTTTAAAAAGTGCATGGAATGCATAGAGTATACATATCATAGCCATAGAGATTGGTAAAGAGTCATTTTGTGACACTAGAAACTCACTGGTTTTCACCTTGGTACACTCCTTTAAAAGGACAGATAGTTGGCACTTCCATGAATGGATTTCCTACCACAAACTGTCTCTCATTCATTACATTCATACCACTAGTACTCAAGTTTCGGCCTAAGCACTTCATATAATATACACACAGGCACAAACCCTTTATTTGCTACGGATTATTTTTCTTACAAACTTACACCTTTGTGTTTTGATTGACTTTTGGTCTCGTTTTCCTGTTTTAAGGCAGACTATTTAGCTAACGTTCCTTTTTATATGAGCGCACGAACGAATCTTTTGCATTTACCTACGTACATGTAGTTCATATAAGCAAATAAACATATCAGGCAGTTCCTTTGGTTATTGAGTTTGAGCCTCAAAAGACTTTTTATCAGTCACAGTATTAGAGTGGATGATAAGTCCGAACTCCACCAACCGCCCAAGTTAGCTAACAGGTGTTCCTCTATTACCCAGCTGCGACATATGGAGACCTTAGGTCAGATTTTCTCAGCCATATCATACATACATTTGGCTGCAAATCATACTTCGGTCAAAAGTTATTTTTTCTAAGATACTTTGTTGTAGTTGATGATTTCAGCAGTAAAAAACGTGATACATTTTCTTAATATAATGTTTTTTGCATACCTTTGTGTGACGTTATGATTTTCACCGGGTTATCTTGATAATTAACCATACTACTTATTTCTGAAGCTATATATTTTTGTTTCTACAAATTTTGTTTTCAATACATACAAAACAAAAACATTTCAATCAAACTAGTTGTTTTTTTAAGCTAGATGAAAGATGAATCATGATAACAAAATTACGCCATTGTTAAGATTGAAACACTGAACGGAAAAACAACTTTTTTTTCAACCAATGAATCTTTTGTTTCGAAATTCCTGCCTTTTGTTTTATTTACTAGTAAATTGTTAAATTGCTCGATTGACTTGTTGTAAACATGTCATTGAGAAATCTCAATATAGGATGAAATAATTGTTCTACGCTCTTTTTCTTTTTCTTATTGTCTTGTTAAAAAAAAATTATTCTACAAGTCATATGAGTCCTGGAAAATGACTTTCACTAAACTGGGAAAAATATTGAAAATATATTTAATCGCAAGGAAAGTGTACTTTAATGAGGCTGTGGGATGTTTATGCTTGAACCAAATAATATAAATGTCCAGATTAAGTGACCTGAAATGTTGAATACTATCGATTTGCACATGGTTTATAATCTAATCAGAAGTTAGGACATAAGACAACCGATTTATCCTTCTGTTGTATAGGTGACTCAAACTTTTTCAAAAAAATACATGATTTACACAGCTTCAATGCCAGTATACAAATGAAAAATTACAGAATGTTGCAAACTAACCGGTGTCTGTTATCATGTTTATATTCATGGTTTTGAGTTATATCCATTTAAAATGCTATACAAGATCAAGTTCTTTAAGTCGTTTAGGTTTTTGTAACTTGTATAAGAATGCTGGAAAAACATGATTTCGATTCCAATTTTAAGGAGATGGTGGTTGCACTTTCGGGAGGCATCAGTTTTCACTAAATCTCCATTTTATTGCTAACTCATGACAACAACGATCTCCAAATGGGATAGTACGTAGATGTATATATATATACCAGGCTAAACAATAGATCTGTTTGATTTATGTTACGAATGCACGAGAACATGTCATTTGATGTGCTTGAACTATTATGAGCTTACCTTAGTCAAAAAAATGAGAGCGAGGATCTATGATCCGGCAACATGACATGCTACTCTAATCCGATTGTCCCAAACCCACATTGAGTAAAAAAAAGACTTGATATGAAGTAGAACCTGTATTTTACAAGCAGCCAGAAAGTATGTGACCCGAGTCTAGAAGAGAATCAGGATCCCGGACTACGGATCCGGGTCATAAAACTTTACAGATAATGGGTATTTATACAGTTAGGTCGAATAGGAAACAGCATTGAAGTATGTGAGATTGACAGTTAAGACGACCATAGTAGGAATTGACCAATAGAATTAGACCTACAAATGAATTCTCTTAAGATATTGGATGAATATCCTAACAATTTTAATCTCTTAAATGTTTCCAAACGTGTCTATATATACCTTATATTGCAATATTAATAAATGAGTTGATGAACGAATGATTAAACTAAATTTTTTATTACTGATTATTATCATGATTATTATTTTAAGTGCAAACTTCACTTGTTATTCATTTCTCATAGAATTAATTTGATGAATTTATATGATTTGTTTAGTGAATATATCGTCATTTTTATTATTGATAGTTTATGGAGATTGTTGAATTACGATTGTTTCACATCATCTTGTCGATAGCCAGGTAGTACTGGCCAGTTGTTTTACCTTATTAGTATAGGACACCTCTGCAGTGTAAATTTACGATCTGACTAGAGTTTCATATTTGAACTAAGCGCTCCTTGTTTTTGTTTTTTCAATAGTTTCCCAAGTCAAGTCATTCATTTTTAACTATGAATAATTTAGTCATTTAATTCGCCCAATATTATTGTATTTCAAATTTTCACTTAAACGCTTAAATACGCTTAATACTTAGTAATTATGACATGATTATATTTTTGAAATTGTTTAATTTTAAACAAATTCTAATATGTGCTGTAGCCAATCTTAAAATATCAATTTCTCGTCTACTTCTTGATTATTCCAACTTTTACTCTGAAAGATAAACATCAATGATATGTGCCATAAATAATTTCGAAACAATGAAATACACTGAAACTAATTGTCATTGAATAGAGAATAATTCATAGGGGCCATAGACTTCTTTTATTCCACAGATGATTTATCTGTAACCATTGGTTTTTATTTGTATGTCATTGTTTCCATAAGCAGTGCATTTTCCCTATTTTTAATATGCTATTTTACTATTTGTTTTTCTAGGGAAAATGGACAAAATGCTGCTTTACAGGATAGTCATCATAATCAGGTTAGTATTGTGATTATTTTTAATTTAAAAATGAAAGGTACCTACAAATATATATATATATATATATATATATATATATGTTTGGTAATCCGAAGAGGCGCTGCATTTTTTTTGGCCTGTTGATGATTTTGAAGGATTGAAAAATGTCGACAAATTATTACATATTATTCTGCTTCGATTTGTGTTCTGGCCTTGTTTAAATTCATAAAGCGAACAAACTGTACGGAATTCCATTTAGCGTGATTAATGTCCGTTGAATTGTAACTGCATTAAATCCCATCATGAACATTAACACAAAAGAATACTTCTTTCGTTTTTTGATGTCGTGTTTTGAAAACTCGATGATTGTACTAGAGCTTCGATTGTCTTTCTGGACAAGATCATCCGATCTCACTTCAAAGGCTTCTTGAATCAAGAAAGAATTAATATTCTAGCAGAATAACATGAATTCATTTATTTTATGGATTCTCTTCAGTTGCTTACAATCTCAAATTCATAGTATTAAACATTGAAATGAAACAAGTCGCGGATATTCGCTTTTTATTCTCTCAATTCTTTAAACAACACACCCAGGCCACTGGAAGGCAGTGAGTAGGACTTTCCTTACACATGGTTAGACTGACTGTATTTGGTGAACCACTGAAACTTAATATGTTTATTGAACCAGCTGTTACATCCACGATTAAGATATTCAGCAGACTAATGTCATGAGCGACTTGATTTGCAATCATCATTTTAGACCGCTGAGTTTAATTCCCAGCACTGTACAATTTTTTAATTATATATTTATTCAATTGATAACTGTAAAACACTGAACGTTTTCTATTTCGTTCATTATGTAAAAAAAAAGTTAATTATTATCTGAGATAATGTCAATGCTGCACTTCCGATGTAGTTGAGCCTTGTCATCAGTTTGGTTTCCTGTGTTTATTTCTTATCAGTTTAATCATATTCAAACCAAATAAACAATAATTTTCATTTCAAACTTTCTAAATATTGATTAGCTTATTTCTAATTTTTTTAGACGCTTAGACAAAGTGAACAATCATTTCTTTTGCATTGATTATAATTTGATATGAATTTTCTTTTTAAAAAAGAAAAGTGCTTTCGTCATAAATTTCTGCAAAATTTACAAATTAGAATATTTGCGTTATATGATAATAATTAGATTTTATAATCAAAAGTATCATTAGGAAAGGAAAATAAGACATTTCATACTGATGTTACACGTTGTAATTAAGCTATATCCTAAGTGATATCCTAATTTCATTGGGGAAGAGTATGTGAACTAGCTCCCCTAGTCGACTGTCATATTTCATCATGTTTAATCGCCTAATAATATGGTGTACACAAATCGTTCGAGGGTTGGGGATGTTAGATCCCCAAAATTCGCTTGATAATGCCGTATTTTGGTTTTCACGTTTTGCCAGCATGGGCTGATCAGTTGACCTTGAGATTTCATTTCCCTCCAGGAAAATCCATGGCTGTGATTGGCTGCTGTGTATTTTAGTGTGCTATTTTCGTAACTGTCCCAAGGACGTTTCTATGCTGTAAAAATAAACGCGATTCGTTTGTTTGAATTTACTTTGTTTTTCCTGGGTGTTTGTAGAATATACTTTCTACGCTTACAAGACTTCTGTTTTGCAGTTTGGGATTCAAGGTAGCCTACCTGGACGCTGGTTCATTGTCTCGTTCGCGTTTATCGACTAAGGTGAACTCGTAATAGCTTCAAGCGTACCAAGTGACGAGCGTAACAGGGGTTCACGCTGACAGTTCATCTCCCTGAGCGATCATCACTGCGCCGTACACCTTGTATCATTGTTTATTATCTAAAAATTTGTTTCATCAATAAAATCCTAATCAAAATATTGATTTAATTTGTCTAAATACTCACTGGATAAATCGAATTGACTAATTTCTTAATTTATGTAATCACTCTATCTATTTTTTTTCCTATATTGTTTGATTTATTTATTTAGATGTGTGAACTTGTTCGTCAGCATACCGATCAATGGAGTAGTTTAAAATCAACACAAATGAAAGAAGTTTATGATTTAGTGTTAAGTTTTTTTGATGCACGTAAAGATTTATTAATTAAGGTAAGACAAATGTTACTTACTTACTTACTTACTTACTTACTTACTTACTTACTTATTACTTACTTTCGCCTGTCACCCCCAATGGAGCATAGGCCGCCGACCAGTTTTCTCTAATCAACTTTATCCTGGGCTTCCCTTTCCAATTCTGTTCAATTTATGTTCATTCTTCTCATTATCTTTCTCTATGAGACAAATGTTAGGAAACTAATAAAAAACAGCAAACAGTGATTTATCATTGTTTTATCAAAAAAACTAAGGTTTCAGACATCTTGATTCGTTGATAAATGTAAATTGAGTAAGAGTAAGATTTACAGAATTTATTAGATATCAAAGTTTCTTATCGACCATAAACAGTTGTAAATCAATGAAGTCGACTTTGAAACAACACATGGACACATTTGAAATAAGAAGAAAACTGTTATATATCTATCTTCATGAGAACGATTAAGGTTACGATTAGGGTTACCTGTTGTTGTTAGCTTACGGCAAGTTTCTATTTATGAATACTTGAGGATTCTTTTTAATACAAAGCAATCAATTGAAACTTGAATAAACCAGATGACTATTATACACGGATACTTCAATGTGTTAATAATTCACATATTCATAGAGAAGATGAGACTTTCAGGATAAATTTATTTAATTTACAAAAGTTCTATCTGAAAAAAACAAAACAACTATTTTTATTTATAGTAACACTTAAGGATTTTCAGACAATAAAAGTTGGCACAAGTGTTGAAGCAATTATAAATACTAGTCAGATAAAAATAAACATGATTACGAAAATATTGATCGTTTTATATAAAATGAATAGATTAAATGTTGAAATGTTGAACCTACATTCTATTTGGTTGAAAGTGAGAATGTCTTCACTAGGAAGCCCATTTCATTTTATAGATAGAATTTAACTTAAATCTTATCATCGGTAAAATTTTCAAAGTAAAATATAAATGCAACTTTTCAACCAGTTTATCTAATCAGTTATTATATAAAATACAAGATATCATGTACATTGTTTTTAAAGTAATGACTATTATGTTCATCGTGTTGTGACAATGTTTATGCAACTGAATTGATGATCTGAAGCACTATCAGGCATTGCTACAACAAAATATCGGATATTCTTCAGGTGAGGATATCAACAGTATATATTTAAGCGAATATTACAGAGTTGTTAGGCATATATACAAAACCTTCCCGTGAATCATCATTTGCAAACTAATCCTTATTTATTTCAGATTTCAGTGTTCTTTCATTTAGACTGTTCGGAATTCAGTTCACTTTGCGTTATCTACAAATCGCCTTCTGTTCTCATTCTTTCCTTCTCGATCTTTAGCTGTCAGACGTTTGATTTCCATTTGATATCATATACTACTTATGTGATCATAAGTAGCGTACACCACATTAATGTCTTTTTCGTTTATTTACTGTATAAACAACGTTTTTGAAGGAAAATCGAATATTACCTACTTCATTCCCTTTTAAGGTAGAAAGGTTTCTGTTTAAAGGATTGACGAGTTTAATAATTTTCTATTACTTTCCACAGTCTTTTTTTATTGTGCATGTAGTGTATTTTCAATTGTATATTTTCAAAGCAAGAAAAATAATTTTCCAAATTTTGACTGTCAGTCGGTTACAACGTAGTAACTACGTACGTACCTACATCAGTTGCCATGCCACATTATCACAGAGAGATCGAGTTTTCATTTCAGTGATAATGGAGAAGATTAAGATTCGAAGTACTCCTCATCTACTAACATGGTTAAGTTCATTTATCAGTGACTTCATGGATTTATGCCATGTTTTGATTTGGCCACCCCTACCCACTTTCCAGCCTACCTCCGCACCACAAAACATCGCTCATCGGGGCAGTCGGTGGCTGGGCATTCGTACACATGTCCCAACCACCTCAACTGATGAAGTTTTAATGCTTCATCTATTGATCTGTCATCCTTACCTAGTAATCTTATCCTAACGACTGCATTGCTTACTCGATTGAGTAAAGCCAATCGAGCCTTCTGTATCTTGTTGATATTTCGTCAGTCACCAGGCCATCAGCACTGATGAGACTCCCCAGATAAGTGAAGCGGTCTACACGCCCAACTACTTCACAACCTATCACTAGTTCAGGTGCCGACGCAAGCCAATCTTGTATCTTGGAGACAAGAGAGTTATTTGGAGGTGAGGGAAGGGCTTGATTGTGACCGATTCGGTCTCGTACTCTGCTAAGGGTATGAGGGAAGATGTCACTTCCCGGCTTCCCACACTGTAGAACGGCATTTCTTGAGGGACCTGAAAAGAATGTTGGATTAGTGCTGTTCTTAGTGACTTGCGGGCGTGACCACAGAACCCAAGGGACAACTGCTTGGAGCCGGCCGCGTATTGCCCTTTTATGGGATGTTTCTAAAGTGGCCTTACCGTCGGAGATAGAAATCTATGGGGTAAAGTGAGGTGTGACATTTTTAGGGTTGACCTTTTCATTGTTTACGTCATGAACTGGTCTTAGTTAATAAACTATTGAATACCCGGAAGTGCTGAACAGCTGCTTCGTCCTAATGTTAAATCTAGACCTATTAGGGTTTCCAAGTATACCACGATACTTCAGTATTAAAGAACGATTGAACTGTTCTAGTATAGACGGTCCTATTACAAGCTCGATAATGCCAGCTGACATGCAACATCCCAACACAAGAAGGCAATAATGTGTACTAAGAACGTGATTTTCTAGCAGAACCAAGCAGAACAACTTAAAATGATACAATCCAGTATATGTATATAAACACGAAAACATAAGTCTCAGGTAAACAGTGAATTGGTGAACCAATTAGAAGAGGCTATAAATTAAATTCCAAAACAATACACTTAAAATTGCTATCCCTTATTTAATTATGTTTTTTTTCCATGATATAATCAGTAGTATTTTAAATGTTCATTGATGTATATTTTTTGTTTGATAAACAATATTCTTTTTTTTTAATTGAATAAAATATAATATTTATTCATTGATGGAATATTTTAGATTATGAAAGAGGTACAAGAAGAACAAAAACGTGAATTACGCATTATACAAGATCGTGAAGTGAAAGAAATGAAAGCTCAACAAACCAAAGCTTCAATTGAATCTAATCGTTCTGTAATGAATGATCGTAAATTACGCAATAAAGCGGAACGTGATCGTCGTATCCGTGAATTGAATGATTATAATACAAAACGATTTATTGATCAACGTAAACTACAAGCTCAACGCCATGAGAAACAAACATTAGAATTGAATAAACGTCATAATTTCGATGAACAAGAAATTATCAATGGCATTAAAAAGGTATCAAATATTTGTTTGTTTGTTTCCAATTCAATTCAGTTGTCGATTGTCAATTCAGCTTTTTGTGTTTAAAAAAAGTCTTTTTTTCTGTCTATTTTTCGACCATTAAATCAAAGCAATATGTATGATAACACTAAGTGTTTATATTATATACTTACTTGGATTCTGTAAGAATAATTCTCAGTTTGTATGCACAGCTTACATTGTGTTAGCGATGACCTTGACTATGATGATTACTAAGAAGATTTAATGCTTTCTGCATTCTTTTTCGTATCTCTCTTATAATCGATCAGCTGTTATAATATATATATATATATATATATATATATATATATATATTAAAAACTGTTTAAAAATGGTACAATAATGTACTTTGTAATGATTATATGGAGAGTGATTATGCAGTATGCATTGATTTGTAAATGATTACATAACAAGTTACCTTTCTTTTTCTATTACATTATTGCAGTGCAATTTGAACAATAATAATAATAATAATAGTATAGCCTCTATTGTATTTTGAGTATTGTTCTTCCTAAGAAATCCACACATTCCATCAATAGTGAACTGTGAAACTAAATCGAATCAACTATCCATCCAGTCTTTCTAGTTGATTGCATCCTAGCCTCAGCATCGTCCACTGGATTATGATGTTTTAATACCATAGTTGTTGATGATGATGATGATAATGATGAATCAATCATTCTGTGCAATAAACATTGATGAAATCATAGCAGAGAATGATGTTTTGCTTTTCTTTTTTTCATAATAGGATAATGTTTTATAATGAATCTTTTAAAAAAAAATTCCACAAAAACCAATTCTGTTTTGTTGTGTTGGTATTATTATTATTATTATTTTGAAAACCTTATGAAATCTGTAGCATTTGACCATTCATTCAGTTATTGTACTTCAATGATTTGTCATTTAAATTATTCGATACAAAATGATCGAATTACAATGAATGACTGAATGAATGAGTGAATGATCAGATGTGACAAAACATTTCTCTCACTGTATATAATTTATTTTAATGAATAGATAATCATGAAAATTATTCTATTATAAATATTATCTATTTATCACTTTGTTTTCTGTTAGAATGAGACAAATTTGTTGATTTCACTAAAATACTAAGAAGAATGGGATTTTCCTTTTAATGAGAATTGATTCTATTGTCATTTAGCTCTACATTTATAGATCAGTATATTTTTATGACAATTGACACTTGTTTTTCTATACCTAAATGAGATATTTTAATTAACTAATAACAGTCTATAAAATTATTGTTAGTATATATATATATATATATATATATTAGATCCTCAGAACTCACTTGAAAAAGGTCCTAATTTTGGATTTTGTGTTTCCGCGCATGGGCTGATCATTTGACCTTGAGATTACATTTCCTACCAGAAAAGTCCTTCACTGTCATTGGTCGATGTGTTGGTTTAGCACCCTATTTTTTGGCTCTCCCAAGGACGTTTCTATGATGTATAAATAACATCGATTTGTGTGCTTGTTTGCTTGTCGACCTCATATTTTCTAGGTGCTTGTAGACTAGCCTTTCTACACCATATCAAGACCTTCTGATATCGTTAGTGGGGCTTCGGGACGCTCGGATTAGAGTAACCTATTGTGTCACAAAATCATTTATCTTAGCTCTCGTTTATCGACTAAGGTGAACTCGTATTAGTTTCAAGCACATCAATTGACGTGATGAAACTGACGAACATAACATATATACATATATGTATATATAACTCAAATTTAATAGGCTTCAACATATATAGACTTTTTTCAATTACTATTTCTCAATAACACAACAATTATATTATATTTTAATCAACAATAATCTAGCTAACAACACTAAATCCCACCTCAATGGATAGGTTAGTTATACAAAGAATTTGTTTGTATTTATCATTTTTCCAAATCTATTTCATTACCATTTTATGTTACACCTCATTCTCATGAAATGCTAACTAATATTATTCATTTGACTTTGTAATCGATATAATGAAATTAAGCGCGATGTCATAATCATCATCATCACCGGTTTATATGAGAGCTGTGAGCAAAAAATCGAATTGTATATGATGCATGCAAATAATAGAATTTTAAATTTAAAAAAGAAAAAACTCTATTCAAGTAAACATGAATTGTAATGTTGTCTAGAATCCAAACATTATGAATATATTGTCTTCTTATTCTTCTGTATGCAATTGAGATTGATCCTTACTTACTTAACCATTTTGTGTTTCTTTTATATTCTGATTTAGGAACGTGAAGAATTTATTCGTAAATATGAAGAAGATCTTTTAGCATTGAAACGTGCAACTGTCATCTAGATTGTCCTGTCCATTCATTCATGCTATGCATATACGCATATGCATATATACATGTATACACAGACACAGACACACACACACACACTATACACATTTCTTCAATCATGATAGAAATGTGCATTTCTATCTGATTGAATTTTACAACTACTACATTACAAAAAAAAATAAGAGTTCTGTTATTTTTTGGTGTTTGTTTGCTCATCTTGATATTTTGTGCTGTTTATTACTAATGTTATTGTTATTATTATTTCTCAGGGTCGATATGATTCATTGTTTTTCTCTTTTTTCCTTGTCTACTTACTACCTTTTCTGTGTTGTGATGTTGTAATTTTTGTCAATTTAATGTTCATGACACACATGATATGAGCATTACTACTATTATTATTATTAGTGTCTCAAGCATAGACAATGACCAAAAACTGAATATTGGTATTATTATTATTATTATTATTATTACCATTATTCTAATCTTTATTCTGTGCGATAATTGAAATAGATTTTTGTTCTTGTTACAAATGTCAACTGCTCACTCACTCTAACTCACCACACTCTTTAAACATACTTTTGTAAAAAAAAAGAAAACTTTCACATACTATTATAACCTACTTATAGATTGTGACTAGTAGTATACAGAGGATTTGGACGAAAAAATATATATATTGTATTATTTAAATGTAATGTGGATTTACATCAAGTCAACGTGTATTATATAACTAACTAGTCAATGGACCTTGTCGATATTTCCCAATCTGGAAGAAATTGTTCATTTTGTCTTTTCTTAGTCTAACAACAACACATTGTTTGTTGTTGTACAATCTATTTCTTCCTCTCTTTATTACATGCACACACACACACACACACTCCTTTGACAATCATGTGCTCGGCATTCGTATATACATATACTATGTATGTATATAAAGATGTAGAAGTCTTGGAGTTGAAAAGTATTGTCTGTGATATAATATAACTTGCTACTTTTAATTCTGTTTGTTCCAATGTTTTGTTACAATATACGGACGAACACAATTTACGTATCATTATTTACGCACTCCAACACACACACACACACATACACATAATTTGAATGTGTTCTGTGCAATAAATTATTTTGCCAATCAAATTGAATGTTGAAGAAATCAACACAGCAATATAATTTGGATGTTTCTTTTTCAGTATGTCATCTGAAATTCTATGTTTAATCTATGAACAATAATCATCTTGAACATATTGATAATTATAGTTTTTTTTGTTGACAAATTATCTCTATACAAGTAGAACTATATACTACTTATTGTTATGTTAGATTGTTAGGTTTATTAACAAGTACAACCAACACAACTAATAATAATAATAATAATTTAATACAAAGAAAACAGGGATATGCCAGTAAGTAAGTAGTTCATGTGTTATATATGCTTCTTGTATGTTTGAGAATGCACAGTGTTACATTTTATACAACTAAATATCTATCCTGTTTACACACATGCACATACATACATACATATATATTTTCATTGTATAAACATTTAGAGGAATTATTTTTTACTAAAACAAAAATTAAAACAGAATCTGTTTATTGCATAAATAATAAATTAGACAAATTGAAAATGGACAGACAATCTTGTCATTAATTATTCAATAATTACTATTGTAAACTTTCTTGCATTGTTGTTATTATATTTGTTTGACTAGAGATTTTGTTGTGTTTTTTCTTATTGTATGTATGTACACTCAATTGGACAAGATCATACACATACTACACACCTTTTGTGTTTTCATGTCTCTCTCTCTCTCTGTGTATGTTTTTCTAACTTGTAATAGATTATTCTTATTGTTATTATTATTGTATTTGATGTGAATATACTTTTTCTATTATAATTTTAACTGTAGACACGGCTATGGGAAATTGAGAAACAGAAGAAACTAATGAATGGACATTATGTAAAATCACGTGTCGTGTGTACTTGCACTTATTCCATTTTACATTTCTTCTTTTATTTTTCTGTTGTAGTTGTGGTTGTAGTAGTTGTGGTAGTAGTTGTTGTTATTGTTATTGGTGGTATTGAACAGAAATAACTACTTTAATTGTACACTTTCTTTTCCATTGATATTGTATTGTGTTTGTTTTTCAACAACACTCGGGAGAAGCGGAGGGAAGGGAACAAACAAACAAACATGTCAAACAAATAGTGACAGATTTATTTTTTTTTCTCCTTTCAACAAACTTGATCATCATCATCATCAAATGGTTAGTGTTTAACTTCTTCGTCTTCTTCTTCTTCCTTTTATTGGTTTTTGTTGTTGCTGTTGTTATTTGTCTATTTGTACATTTGTCTTTCGATGAATTTGTTAATATAAAAACAAACTACCATTCATAATATTAATAATAATAATCATAATATTACTACTACTACTACTACTTCTACTAGGTGTATAGATATGTACTACTACTACTACTACTACTACTTATATTTGAATTGAATGAGTAAATTATTTCACAGAAATAAAATATATCAATTGAACAGGTAGTTTTATTTTTATTTTTGAATAACTTAGTATTTATTATCTATCATTGAGTTATCAAGTTGAAAAAGGCTAGGTTTTTCATATTTTGATAATTTTAAGTGCAGAATATATGTATTCAGATTTCTGTATACGTGTAATAATTTATCTTGAGTATAGTTATTATATTGCAAGGTTGAACAATATTAATTTATTGGAGAAATAGATTTCGAGGTATATTCACTAGAATATTTACTTGGTTTTTTTAAAAAAAAAATTATCATGTTTATAAAACAACGAATAGAATTCCCCTAGAAGACATGTACGGCTAGCCTTATTATTCTGTTTTTTTTCAACATGTGATGAACACTGAATACTAAAAGGCTTTTTGACATCTGTACTTACTGCATTTGCAGTCAAACTTGATTAACTGTGTAATATTTAATGAAGGGGATTTATGAAGATTGTATTATTTTCATAGTTTAAATTATGAACTGATCTAAGCTAGACCGATATTAGAAACCTGGAAGCGTGAGAGGGATGTTTCTTCCCAAAATGAGGATCCTTATCAGTGAAGTTATGGAAACAGTACAGTATCCAAAAATCTCTTTTATTAATAACAATCATGTGCTCACTACTGAATAGCTTCTTGTTACATTCCTGAACTTCTTGTGAGAAATAGTGATCAGTCGAGTTCAATCCGTATCGGGTAGGAGACAATTATCCGCCGTAGGCAGTTGATGAAGGCTGTGCAACGCCATAGATTGATTGAAGTTAAACACTATTGGATGCTGCTTCAGTAGTCTAGAAATTAAGCGTTCGTGAGTGAAACTGAAGGCCAAAGGTTTGATCCCGTGCCGAGGTGTGGATGAGCACTGTCGAAGAGTCCGATACTCGGAAGAAACGGCCGTTCAGTGCTTCCAGGCTGAGATCAATACGTGATTTAAATCATGAAAACAAGTACTTACTTAGTTTATGTTGCTTTGAATTGTTGACTTTACGTCACTCTGAAAAGAGCCTGTCCATTTTATTTCTGCTTCCGTTCATGCCTCAATATTCGAGTAAATCCTGAAGTCGTCGACTAGCATTTTCTTATCCTAACGAAATCACAGGTTTTCTAGCAGAAATAATTGCTATCTTGTAATCTTCACTCCGTATTACATTATCAGAAGTATCGAGTGCGATATAAACTAACAGTTAGGAAGTTAAAATGTTCATTTTAATGTATGAACATATTAGAAGACAAGGAATAAATTAAATTCATTAAGGTTCTGTCCAGGTTGTTAAAAATAAACAACACTCAAATGTGTTTTTGTTTTATCACTGACACACTTGACATACGTACTTATGGTAATGGTGGAAGTTAAGAATGAAAATATTTAGTTTATTCAGTCAGTCAGCTACAACGCAGAACTTCGTGCCTATGTATATCAGTTCGACTCGTCATACCATATAAGCATAGAGATACAATTGTCAGTTCAAATGCCATAGTGGTAGAGGTAATACGAGGATTAGTGGTGATGGAGAAGATTAGGGTTCGACAATGTTATTCAAGAACAAAAAAATGGTTATGAGGAATTCAGAAGATTATAATTTGAGAGAAGACAAAGAATGGATGCATCAGCGCGATTGCAAACGATTTTGAGTCATGTTATTCAAAGTCTCTAACCATCGGTTACAACTATCTCGCGAACCCCAACCAAGTGGTTTACACATACCAGCATGGCTCAGTCCGCTTGTTAGTGACTTCATGGATTCCTGCCATGTTATGATCTGGTCGCCCCTAGCTTGCGTCCAAGTTATTCCTATATCGCAGAACATAGCTCGACATAGCAGTCGGTGGTTAGGCATACATAACACATGTCCCAACCACCTCAACTGATGAGGTTTCATTACGTCATCTATTGACCTGCCATCCTTACCTAGTACCCGTTTCCTAACAACTGTATCGCTTACTCGAATGTCCCAGGATATACGAGCAATGCTTCGGAGACACCTATGGTCGGATACTAATAGCTCACGACTACCCTCTACTCTTAGTGGCCGATAAAGTTGAACGGATAGAACTACTCAGTAAACCCGTCCTTCGGTTAGCAAGAGGACGTCTCGCCTACTCTGTAAGTGACCCAAGTTGGTAAAAGTCAATCGAGCCTTCGGTATCCGTGCTGAGGTTTCGTCACACACCAGGCCATCAGCACTGTTGAGACTCCCAATATAAGTGACGCGGTCAATAAGTTCGACCACTTCACTCCCTATTCAGATGCCGATGCAGGCCAATCCTGGAACGAAATTCCACATTTCGAAGGAGAAAACCGCATCCCGAACATGCTTGCATTGTTGCTTGAGGTGGTCAGAATACTGGATTCAGTCACTGTCTTCAGCAAATGGAACTATGTCTTAGACATATACTAAGTCGACAAGTGAGTCTCCTGGAAGGTCAATTCCTAAAAAGTCAGACGAGGAAAGCACTATCTCTAAAAGCATATCAATGATAAAGTTGAATAAGAATGGAGAAAGTGGAGAACCCTGAATAACACTACGTAAAGTAATCAATTCCGATTACAGTTCGCCATAAGCTGTAAATCAACCAATGAAGTTCACGTCGAGAGCCTTATTAAGGTTATTGTACTTCGTTGGTTCTCCTTTCATTGGCACACTGCAACAAAATCTCACGATATACAGAGTCAGATTTCACCTTAAGTTCTGTGAATACAACTATTGCCAGACGTCTAAATGTGTGTCTCTCATAGGACCTGACGAAGTGTGAAAATGTGGTCTGTACATCCACATCGTCTGAAACTGGCCCGATTTTATCCGGTTTGCGCTTCACGAGCTCCAGTTAGGCTTGGAAGTATTACTGAAGGTAATATTTTGGACACTGAGGGGTTAAATTATCAGAGCCTGCAGCTCTTCTTCGCTTTAGATTGCCGATAACCTTTGCAACCTCATTAATAGTGGGAGAACTCATATCAACTTGCTATTCCCTTTGACTAGAGATCGTGGGTAACCGAAAGGTGGCTGGAGACTAGCTAAACTGTTCCCTAAAGTGTTCTGTTCATCAATACAGTCTCCTGGATTAAGAATGAATAATAGTCCCATTCTTTTTCCGAAATAATCTCACTAACAGTTAGACTTTTAATAACGTTTCCTTGATAAGTTTGAATAGTTGTCTACTGTTACCTATCGTCGCTACCTCTTCTATCTCTCTTACTTTTGCGACCCACCACTGTTCGCGATCATTGAGTAAGCTTCTTATTAGCATGCGATTAAGCTGACTTCGCTTCTCATCACGTTCGCAGCAAGACCGGATGAGTTTTTAAGCATCTACCAGTTCTGTAGATGCTACTGAGATCCACTGTTTTTCCCCAACCTTTTGGTTTAGCTTACTGGCAGATACCACTGCTGTTTCCACAGCTTTTCGGATATCATTTCAAGCAACCTCAGGGTGGGCATAACTTACATGGCTGTCGAATTATTTCCCTAGTTGTTCCTCAAATGTACTCTTGGTTTTGCTAAAAAGTAGAAGTCTAGGGGTTTTCCTTGTTGTGTCCTTATTGCGTCCGGTGAGACGCAGACAAATGAGCACTCGTACTAGAGCATGATCCGAGTCTAAACGCGTGATCCAGAACTAACCTCTCCATCAGTGGCTGATCGCAGTGTGGTCTAGTTGGGCCGATTTTGCGGGTTGTCATGTCAAAAGATGTTTTTCCTTATGCAAACAGTTGGTACTTGCCAGAAATAAGCAGTTATCTGCATCAGACGGTCGCCATTGTCTGCTCCTTGAGCTGCGACACCATAAGATCCACTCAGATGTCTTTCAATTTCGCTTAATCTACCTACTTGACCATTAAAGTCACCAGCCACTATTACTATATCAAAATGCTTAGCTTTTTGAACAAGGTTGAAAAGTTTTCCGTAAAATTAATCTTTTACCTCATCCGAGGTGCAGTTGATGGGAGCGTAGGCAGAGCCGACAAAGAGGCAACGGCGAAACTACCTATCTTTACGAGTCCTTACTGTCTCGTTTAGTTGGACAGCATATAAGCGACTATCTACCAGGATCCAGTCTAAGAGTACTAGCTCTGCCTTAGAACTTAATGCAACACCTACACCAGCAAGGCGACGGCAAGCAGAAGTGGGGCTTCCAGATACATAAGCGTAAATTTCAACGGTTCTTTATCTTGACTAGGTGAGATCAAATGAATGATTCTACACGGATCCAGTATGCGCGTTTCAGAGATGCGGCATACATCGATGGCACGAGATTCTCGAGTTCTAGCTAAGGAGGCCTGTTGTTCTACTTGGCAGAAGGTTTGGACATTAAAAGCTCCAATATGTAGATTAGAACGGGCTTTTAGGAGACCAGCAATACCATTTCGTGTACTCGAACCGTTTGATTCAGCGGCGCGAGGTGATAGAGGAATGTGAGGTTATTTAGTTTATTACAGGATACATATGAATCAATCAATCAATAACACTATGACTGACTATTGAATATATATACATACTGCATCAACGACTATTGTTAGGCTAGATAAAAAAAATTCGAAAGTTATTATTCAGTAATTTATGTTGTGTAAGACAATTAAATGTGACAATTCACAAACCTGAGTTATCATAAATCATTGACTGAGAGCAAGAGATAATATCAGTGAAAAACTTTCAAAGCGTATCATCATTAATTTAGTTTTAATTTGCTTTTTTTTCCAAGCACTTTTATTTTCTTAAGATTCTAAGAAATACGACAAAGTAATCCACACTCTTGGGTAGACTTTTAAGTACATGCAAAAAGTAGGGTGCTGAAGTTCATATTTTCCTTTATTAATGTAGTAGTGTATATTTGAATCCTATAAAAAAATATATAAACACTACGAACACCCAACTATTTATTACTGAATTGAAGAAGAAAACAGCAGAAATGCATTACAAAACATTCAATTGTTAACTGGGAGTTATTAATAAAGTTTTCGTTGATAATATTCATGATAACTAACTGATTACTCTTTAACCGTGGTTACAGAGTTAACTGCTTTCTCCGTAGAATTTACGTTTGAGGAAATCTGATTAGACGACTGCTGTTTCTTGGATGGTGCAATCCACTTAAGCTGATCAACTGAAGGTAAGTCAGAATGAAGGAAAGGACATTTAGTACGATTCGTACAACTAGAACCATATCGACATGGAATTGGGCTAGTGAAAACAGGAACAGTTGGATTTGGGCTTCGAACAATGATTGGAGGGGCTTGTACAACAACAGGTGGATGGTAAAATTGACAATGGGGATTTGTACATCTATTTTGAAAACGGCATACTATTTGAGCCGGGTTAGCAGGCACCACAGCTATAAAAACGAAAATAAAAAAAAAAGAATTGATGATTAGAAAGATTTATACTCGTTTTGTATGTAGTATACATGAATTAACGGAGAGTTTTGTAAGCTCCGATTAGTATGCGAGTTACTTTTACACATGATGCCGAATTAAATATTAGTACATGCTTATGAAGTACAGAGATATAATAATAGTACCCTTAAAACAACTTTCATTTGAGTTAGACATTGAGCAATATAGTCATTTTAACAAGTTCATGGTTGTGATGGGTTCTCTGTGTAGCTCCATTTGTCTATCTTAACTTCTGAAATTTTTCATCACAGATAAATGTTATGCGAATTATTTTAAGTGGATTTATTAAATATCACATTTTCTAGATAATATTAAGAATGAAAATACTGAGAGGATAAGTAAATGATATTCGAAAATTGTTTAGCTAAAGTTAATAAATCCAATTAGTAAAATGGAAATTTCTAGAACTCGATATAGGATACCTTGTTGCTGAAATACACAGAAAACTAAACAAGATATTTATTTTTAAACGAAGATTATGATTTCTTATCTAAACTCTGAATGAATATATATTCACAGTATTAGATAGTTGGTTAAAGTTAGAATCTGTTTACGAAATGGTTAGATTGTTAAATTAAAACATGCGATTTTCGCGTGTTTTACATTTAAATAGGGTAAGTCAATTACAACGTTGAACTTCGTACGCACGTACAACAGTTCAAGTTGCCATAACACGGCGGCACAGAGATGCGATTATTGATTCAAATCCCACCACAAAACATAGCTCATCTAGGTAGTCGGTGGTCGGGCACACGTAACACATGTCACAACATTAGCGGCGCGAGGTGACAAAGAAACGCGAAAATGTTTGGTCATTGAGATAAGAGGGTTGTTAAAAAATATAAGGGGGATTCGATTCAGACTAGTTTGGTCTCGCATGCTGTTACGAGTATGAGGGAGGATGTCACTTCCCGGTAGCCTACACCATGGAAGACTTAAATATAGTAGGAAACCATGTTTGAAAATAGATTTATATCCGATGTATATAGACATCACTTACGCAATACTTTTTTCGCTGTATGTGTGAAAGCACAATCTGCACGAGTACATAATGCCCCATAACGACATGGTGGATGGACAAATGTACATGTTGCGCCAAATTTACATCGCGGAAACAACTGGCACGGTTCTGTAGGATGAATATACGGACAAGAACTTCCATTTCGACAATTTGGCCAGAACTTACAACGTTCCAAGGAGCTAAAAGTAAACAGATATGTTTTCATAGTTTATTTTTTTTTTTGTGAAAGGAAAAATTACTTAAAATTGTCAGAACACGACCTATAACATTTCCTCTTAGGCAACAAGGTGTTGCATAACCAATTATGAGTGGAAAAAAATGATGCATGAAAACACATTACACATCAGCCAACTTGTGAGTGTGGGTAGTAAGAGTCCAACAGATATTATTTCTAACAACGAAAGTATGAGTGAAGTTTAAAATGTCAAAATTTTCAACTAAAGTAGTTAAGAATTACAATTATGATGTATGAAATTAGAAAACTACAAACAAATTCTTATTGGGTGCCCTTGAATACAACATTAAATGAACAATCATGAAACTAAAACAAGTTACCGGGATCCATAGTCTATTATTGGTTTAAATTACGTGGATTAATACAAACCATTTGACTGAAAATTTTGACTGGTACAATGTAAAATTGATTTATAATTATAAATCTGTTAGGATATTAGGATAAGAATCGTGTTTTAGTAGCTTAAACAAAAACCAAGAATTTGTGCTATAAATAAGCACCAATATAATGATAATAATAATAATAATACACGCCATATTTACAAACTGATACTGAGTTTTGATTGGAACCATGAATAGATCAATGTTAGACCACCATTAGAAACCCGGAAGCACTGGACAGCCGTTTCGTCCTAGTATGGGACTCATCAGCAGTGCGCATCCACAACTCCTGCACCCCGCAGGATTCGAATCCAGGACCTTCGGTATTGTAGGCGAACGCCTAACCATCGGACCACTGAGCCGGTATCTAACGGTGTTAATGTCTAACTTGATCAATTCACGAGTTATTTTTTCACATCTCAGATCATAGCACACTGTGTTAACCTTTTTTTTCATGTATTTCCGAATACATTTTAAATGAAACCATTAATAAAAAAACTACTAACCTTGGAATAGTTGGCTGAGTTTCTGATTCTGTGACCATATCAGTTTGATTTTGTATTTTTTCTTTATGTTTAAGTGAATTGATCTTTTTTTTCTGTCGTTCAACTCCGGCTGAAAAAGTGGTCATATCTTCTTCTCCTTCTTCTTCATCTGTTTCATTTAAATTAACCACTAATTGTGGTGTTGGTTGACTTAATTTTTCAGCTAGAGATATTTTTGACAAAGGTACATAGTTTCCTTTCAATGGTGGTCGATTTTCATCATCCACTCCATCATTATTTACAAATGCATCATCACATGCTAATTCAACGTAGTCACCTTCAACAAAATCGTCAAATTCATTTTCTGAAGTATAGTCAAAATTTTCATCACTTCGAGATAAACTAACTATCCGACCATTGGATTGAATAACAGGGCCAAGACGATGCTTAGCACTTATTCTGCCTTCCCCATGTAATGTTTTAGTGCTTACTAAACGTGAACCAAGTCGAATTTTTCTATCGTTAAGTACATCTGTCTGATCAAAGTATCCAACAGAACGTAAACGACCAACTCTTGAAGAATTACGAAGTTTAGGAGAATGTACCGTTTGTGTGGGTTTAGGTTCTGCACCAGACAAAGTAATGAAAAATCTTGTGGAGTCAGGATGTGAAGATGACGATACATCAGAACTGTTTTTTTAGAGAAAAAAAATTAATTTCTAAGTAAGCAGAAAGTCTCCATTTTGTCACACAATTCTTATTTTATACATCATACCACAAAATAAATTCAGTTAAACTTGACCTGTTAAGTTAGTTTGATCTAAATTTACACATGAAAAACAATTCACTGAAGATAGTAAAAACTTAACAAACTATTAGCATGATATTATGTTTACTTAAGAGATTTTCACTCTGAAGTTCTATTGGTCTTAGTCTCATGAAAATTTACAAAAGTTGCTACAAAGGTTTGTACGGATTATCGGATTTCTATAATTTACATCACGGACTGAGTTTACTTAGACAACCATTGAAAACTCTTGAATAATATATTCTAATCCCAACCTCTCCGATTACTTCTAATACCTTTACTACCTCTTCTACTATTGGATTTGAATTGACAATTACATCTCTGTGCTGATGTGGTATGGCAACATGAACTGATGTACTTACGTACGAAGTTTTACGTTGCATCTGACTGACTGACTGACCATTGAAAACTAAGATGTACTGGACAGAGGTTTTGTCCTAATATAGAACTCCTGAGGAATGAGTATTGACTAACTTGCAGGTGGTTGAACTAAGGATCCTCAAAGAAATAACCTTTAGACCAGTGGGCCACCATCTAAAGGTTTACGTGTTTAACTTTGGTCAGCTTGTGGTATTGCGTACCTAACTTTCAATATTATTAACAGGTTACAGAAAGAACTTAAATAAACATTCACCACCTCAAATGCATTTATACAATACATCGACGGTAGTAGTAATTAATTACAAAATTAATGTTTTATCTATCTGTAAAACGAGTTTTCAGGTGTCAAAGCAAATTCAAACATATAGATAGGTTAAATACTCAATTTGTAATGGCTAATAGTATCCAGTTTTAATTGTCAACTTGAAATAATGGAATCGAACAACGCACTGTTTTCTATCATAGAACTGGTCAAATATACTGTTTTAGACTATCCTTACATATATAGTTATAAAGGCCTCCCGTAAAGCACCTACACGTTTTAACTCTCATCTTATTTTTGATGTCATAATAATCAAATATTTAGAACATTCGAAGCGGATCATGGAATTTAGTGAGTGACACAGTTGAAAGACTGTTTCAGATAGGGGCAAACAAATCTTAAAACTTAGAAAGTCTTTCATTACATTAACATTTAGAAACACAAAACACAAGGACAAACAACAAAGTTTTGTCCATTTACTTATTTCTACATGCATATAAGAGTATCACTAAATGACATAGTTCAATGAAATTGCGGTCTAAATTTTAATACATGTTCGACAACTCTATAGTTCTCGTCAATAACTTTACAGTTAACAGTATGTAGATGGTATATGATTGCTAGAAATAACCAACAAACAGACAAAGAAATATATTACTAGATTTTGCTGAGGTAGCCACTACCAAACAGTTAAGGTGAAATTGATATCATCATTGTGAAAATGTGGTATTTATGACCTAGTAGTTTAAAAATATGATTATAAATCTATGAATTATTGTACTTTCTTTACTAACCTGGTTTTAGAATTCTGTTTTATGTCTACAATATTCATCAAACCATTCTATGAAGACTTTTTTTTATATCTAGATATGTTCGCTGTATTAGTTTTGATGACAATGTCAGCGTTATCTCATTATTTTCTAGTTAAATGAGTGAGGTTAGAATAATGTGTATGGAAAGCTTAGTTAAATTCTCATTATTGATCTGTTTCGAATGGGTTTACCTACTTTACTAACCTCAAAAAGAGGTTAAAACCAAAAATATAAAGAAATAAATAGTAAGCTGAGCATAACATGTCTTTCTTATTTGTACGCTGAATGGATGGATGACAAAACATATTATTAACAGAAAAAATATTATTCATACGTTTACAACTAACCAAGCTACCGGTCGAGCAATTGGTTTTCGTTTTGCTGGAGTATGCAAACTGGATTCAGCTGTCATTGTGCTGGCTTTAGCTTCATTCACAGCTCTCTTAAGCAACAAGCTTGATGGTTGAGGATACTCTTGTTTTGTTCTTGAATGCTATGTAATGAAAAAAAAAACAATTTATTGGAACAAATGCGCTTTCTTTAAATAACATGTAAGTTCTCGGTTAACAAGAGAATAATAATATCAATGATTAATGAATAAGAACATCTAAACTTTGCAATATAAACGTTTTATTCAGTATTAAAGATTTTTGTTATTGATATCGTATACTGTTTGTATGTCTCGATCATTACGAGTAGGAAATGATGGCAAAAGATAGCAATATCTGTTTTTCCGTTTAGTCATAAGTAAAATGTGTTCGCTTAGCATACAGATCACAATGTAGGGGACAACTCTTTCAATTGGACAAGTACGAAATCTGAGTAGATCCCAAAATGTAAATAACTCACAACAAACAATACCTAGGTTACATACCGAATCGTTTTCTAGAGTACAAGACACACAAGAGCTGGAGGCTTTTTATAAAATTTTCCTTAGAAGCATTACTTGCATATTTAAGGACTACTGAGTGGGTAGTGTGCTAGGGTTAGGTAGGAGGGAAAAAATGCTAAATAGGTTAATGAGGTTAGCAATTATGGTGCTTCGGAGATGTATTACTTATCCTTGACTAGCAATGATAGTAATAGTTTAAAAGCTAGAGGTAGTGTGAAGATCCTATTTGCCTGTCCTCGGCGAGGCACCAGGTACCCAGAACTATTTGACGATACCCCAGTGCTAGGGTTGTAGTACCTCCATATACATTTGAGTTTGTTCATTAATATTTTGGCTAAGTCTTTTGGTTAAATTATTCAACTGAGTCAATCGCTTTGCAATGACTTACCTGTTCCATTAGGATCTTATTATTGTCACGCTTGTATGAACAGGTATGGTTGAACATTGCTTACTGCGTGCGTGCATATTCATTATATTCACTTTAATATTAGCCTCTTAAATAATTCGATGACTCATTCATTTTCCCATGTAAATAAATACACATTTTAATCTTATTCATTCATTCACCAACTCGCTTGCCCGCCCTTTGGGACTCGCATATTGACTTTTGATCTGTGTGCCTGTGGTTTGGTGGTCTATTTGTGGTGCGCCAAATAAACATTTTGAACACTTCGTGAGGCGTTATTTGGCAGCGGTTTTCTGGACAAAGTCTGTGTGCTGTTATGAGTTTGAGGGAGGATATCACTTCCCGACTGCCCACACAATGGAAGGGATCTGGTTGTCAGAAGGGGGGCATTGACCTCATGACTTCTGAAAGAACTCGGTTCTCATTGTGAGACGTCATAACCCATCTAAATGAAAACCGTCCAACTCCCAGGGCAGAGTTTAAATGGTTTGAACTATTTTCTCTTGTTAGCGTTTCTTGGTGGGTTAGTTTTCTACGGGATAGGATCACTAACCCCAAGTCCAACCCTCTTTACTCGGGTTTGGGACCGCAGTAGCCCCAGAGGGGCTCATGGCGGAGTTATATGGAGTTTTAGAGCATATCGAATACCGACCGTCAGGAAACTAGTGAGGCATCGGCCAGCACAGGTTAAGAGTAATCTATGAAGCTAATGAGACGCCAATTAATAACATCCAACGACATCTTGGATGAATGGTAGCACTCTCTGAGTAACAGTTTAAGCGGTCTTTTATCCGAACCCAGTCGACCAGACTGTTTTATCTTCAGAAGTTGATGATAAATGATCCACCAAAGGAGGGGGTTCGCATGGAACGTCGACCTATGGAGCGCCACAAGTCACCAGGCCTAGGTCACTTAGCTCCAGTCTTTTGTAAGAAATGGATAACTGATCAGAGAACTGCTGGGCTGTTTCGAAAGGTTCGGGAATTACAGTGTTGCAAGATCCTGGAACGAAGCGGCTGTCATTACTATTTTTCAGAGGGGTTTGCGTCATACACGCAACAGCTATCGGGGGATGAGTTTATTTGCGAACGAGTTCAGCCTGTCGCCTTCGTCGTACTTTGCAGATTACCCAAAATTCATGCGATGAGCATGTTGGTTTCCACTCTGATAATCGATGCAGTGATGATATTTGCGTGCTCTTCCAACGTTAGAGCACCGCCGTGCTTATTGAAGTCAACAATAGTTGCGTTTCTTCATATCAGGGTTCCCTTCAACTAGTTGCGGGGAGGGTGTACTCTGAAAATGTCTGCTGAAGGGTGTCTGAAAAGTTTAGTAATATTTTAAAGGTTTGGTAAACGTACAACTACCTCTCCCTAATGCTCCATTCTGGTAGTAATGTCAGGCAGGATTACCGCCCCTCACCATTTCTTTTCAACTTTTCCGCCTACGACATCCTAGAAACAGTGATGTTGTGGATCCGTTACCTGTTAACAATACTACTAATGCTACAACTCCAACTACTATGGCATTTGAATCGACAATCGCATCTCTGTGCTAACGTGGTATGGCAACTTGAACGGATGTACATTGCAACCGACTGAATGACCTGGAGAAAGATTTATCACTTCTTAAGAATGACGGTGACATTGACCTATTGCGCGGTGATAATCAAGCTATGCGAACCGCACATAACCCATTTGCACATAGTTGGGCACGATAACAAAAACCCCTTTGATGATATTATCATGATAAACACCAGTTTCGGAGGCTAGATGTGATACGGTATGCTTTATTAGCTGAGGCTGCGATAAAGTGGGAAAAGTGGAGATATGGCCAATTTATGATATGGCACTGAGATTTGAAAGAAGGCTGTATAGGGCTGGCAGGGTGGGCTATACCGACTGCCCGATTGCAGTCTTGGAGATAGTGCAATCCAGTGGTATGAAATATTATTAGACATTACTTAGAAAGGAGGCTAAAAGTATTCTTGCGGATTTTATTTACATCTTTCATCAAAGTAAGGGGAACTTGTTTGACTGAAAGAATACCTCTTAGTAGTGATTTTTAAACTGATCTATCCTTCTCCATAAAATTTATTCTTGTGTACTTATTTTTATCAGATGCCTGTCTGCATGAGCGCCACATATTATACAACCACTTTTGGAAGTATAAATTCGATAGAGAATACACAGAAACGTACGTAGCGCAAACACTTTCTCACTAGACCAGCGAAAATAACAAGAAACTAAGAACCCAGATGGTAGATCTACAGAAGACAAAGCATTTTGTTGACAGAGGGTAAAAGTGGAGAATACGAAATGTACGATAATTAGGGTTCACTAATGTAACTTTATAGCATGAAACACCTGGAAAATTTTTGGTTAGACAAAGGCATCATTATGTAGACGAGGAAATTTTGATCGACGGAATCAGAAATTTACAAGGAAGAAATGGGTAGAACGAGTTGACTAACGTACTTAATTGACAAAAAACTTGTTTGCATCATAAAGGAGTTAGCACCATTTAGTCACGCTGTCTACGGTTTTTAAATATTATCTTATCAACTCTTTTATCCCAAATACGTCATAAGTTCATTACATCTAGTGCAACAATGAAGGTAAAGTGAGAAAACAAAGAAAATTTTGCCAGCAAATTTCCAGTTTCTTGATTAGCAATTGACACGTCTACGAAACACAAGTGATGCACCTTGTATTATATACATGTAAAATATACAAGTAACACTGAAGGAACTAATGATTACAGAGCTTCATCTTTGATAACTGTTTTGATAAGTCACTTGCACTATAAGCAGACTAAATTGAAAGACGGACCTGTTTTGACGATTGTCTAACTTCCATTAACGACAATCAAAATGGACAAACCACTGTACTATCATTTACTTATTTTTTGATTAGAATACAGTCTAAGTACCCTTTAGGGAGGCATCGTGTATTTTACAGGTAAGATGTGTTTTAGGGTTATTTACATTAGGCTAAATCTTCTTAAAATTGGTTATTGAACGGTGGATACGTCTGGGATATAATCGTATCTAAGAGACGGTAAATGTCGGTAATTTGGCTCAAAACAGATCGAAATGTTGCAGACTTGTTTAGATTCTCTTTTCGTAGATGAGTTTTAAAAGTACTTGTCTTTTATTCAGCGAATTCATTCTTTATCAAACCACGTTGTCTGTGCCAAGTTTCTGCTGACACAGATACCTTCACTACTTTGCCCTCAAAATTTTATCACACTGTGATGATGTGGAGTGGCAGCCTGAATCGATACCAGGTCCTAGGTTGCAAGTTACTGACAGCCTTCTATAATTCCTGGACAAAATTGTCATGTTCCCATAGACAGGGAGATCAGTGGAAATTAGAGATATGCGTACTTACAAGTATATCCCCCACATATTAAAGCTTAAAGCCCCTACTGAACAATACTAGATGTGACTGATAGTTTTCAACAGATGTCAAATTGACGAGATAGGTTTTAATAACAATCGTGATCTAGTACCCAACAAAACGAAACCATGATAACCTTGAAAAAAGCTAATAGTGGTGTGAAAGAGATACCAATGTAGCAAAAAAGCAATGACTACCTTATGACTATCTGAGTTTTTCACCTCAACGACTGATTGTAGGCTGTTACTTTTGTCCGATAGATCAGTACTTTTTTCACTTTCTTGTGGTACTTTTCGGGATAAGGAAGAAGTTGACAGGATTTTGCGCTCCTAAACAATAAATAGATGTCGCTAAAGAAACTTACTTCTTTGATATGATAAGACCCATTATCATCGGAAATATATACATCTGCAACTTAGTTACACAATTTAAAATTTTACCTGCTGCAGCTTTTACACCACCATCAATTTCTCCATGAGGCTCGCGAGAACTATTAGTATATCTACCGTGTCTAACAGATCCTAGAGGAGACCTTGATCTTGAACGGTTCGAGTACTTGGGAGGAGAATCACTGTGGGATTCAGATGAACGTGCTTTTGGACCCTTGCGTCGCCCAGATTTCGATCGTGAGGAACGCACAGTTTCATTATCTTTACGTCCATCACTAGAGTCTAAAAAACTTAGATTAACATGAAGAACTTACCACGTCCCGAAGCTTTCAAATTTTCAAGCGTGAGGTGAAGCCTAAGAAATAATGAATCGAAATTTCTCTCACCATTCAGTAAACCTGTTGGTATGTTCACCCAAGAATAGTTGTAAGTCTTTAGCCATAGCACTTTCACTTTTTTTGTTTGCAACCATAACCATAATATAATCCGGAAGTTCATCATCGATAAATGCACCAAGTGTCTTAAGTTTTTCTGTCACCCGGTCCTGCAATATGTCGAGTGAGTTCAGGAAAAATGAGAAACAAACCTTCACAGTCAACAAGAACGACGAGTCATACACCATTGGTTAGATGAAACGTAATGCTTCAAAACAAGCGCTAACTAGTTCGAAACATCCGATGGACATAAATGACAGGACTTCTCTTTCTATTAGCAACAGATCTTCAAAACCGTCATATACCGTTCTAGATATATAAGTCAACTCGAAATAAAAGAATTTGTAGTGGTATATTAATCATCCAAGAGTATTTCTATAAGTCTTAGACATTGGTGCTTACCTTATTAGTTTTACTAGACATACCTTAGATGAAGGCACCAGGTCACTAATCTGCACCATCTTACCGTTTGGTACTTCGTAATACTCACTTCTTGCAACAACTAGTCAATGCAGCTAATATACTTCCAGATACATCGGATGTCTTCCAACCATTTCTTCGGTCTCCTTCATTCCTGACTTTCAGTTTAACTGGATTTAATAAGAAGGTTTTACGGATGAAGACTCAGTCACACCCTTAATACCAGTGATTCCTTTATCGGTGAGCCCGACGTGATCTGGTACAATAAACAAAAAGCTGAGTATCTAGTCATTGTTGGGAAGATGTATATAAATATGTAAATTCTTGCATATTGTAATGTTATTACTATTTTTGGATTTTTACCTATATTTGTTTGTCTTGATATCATTATATCAGAAGACACCTCTAGGTCACTAAACTTTGACTCTCAAACCCCACATCTTTCAACTTATGCCATTTCGGCTTGATAATATCGACTCCTGCTTCCGGCATGTAGAGGGCGACTTCCGGAATCACGAGGTGGCAGACTTAAGTGCAGGAGTTACCTGCAGCAGTGAAAGTACCACTTTGTTTAACAGTGATTTCCTCGAACTTATCAACACAATAGTCAGACCAAAATTTCCACAACACAGTTACCCAACGTCTGAGAAACAGAAATGTTGCCACATATGTGGGAAGTCATTGCTCATCGAACTTTAAATGAAAGCTTACTTAAACGAATCTCTCTGTTTAATCTTCCTGAAAAGGTGAAAGCCATTCTTGTCTCACTTCAGAATAACGCTGCATCTGCCTATCGGATTTTGGAAATAGCTAGAATTCCTAGCTTTGATGTTCATTCTATTGAATAAACCTCTCTGGCCTAAGGAAATAAAATTACGGACCTCTTTAGCACTATCAACATCGTTCTTAATACTTAGCATGATTCTAATATAAAACTAAATGAAAATATTTTTTTCTGCAGCTCGAGGACAAGTTACGCGAATCGGTATTTGTACAACAACAACAAATTTTCCAAAAACTATGGAAAACTCAGAAAGTTTCCCCAGCCTGAAAATTGGTACAACAAACATTTCTGCAGGCATCGCCTACAACCTGCGTTAATGGTGTTCGGAGCTGCCGGACATAGTCGCCAGCTGTACAACATAGGCGTAATGACGAAGCTCCGCCATCTAGTTGGAAATGTTGCAGAGGTAAGCGTTTTTACAGCGAACACAAACGATCATTTTTCAATCTGCAGGCGGGAAACGGAATTCCAAACGCCACATGCAGTCCCAGGTATGTTTACCTTTATGCGGGTATACACAGAAGTATGCACTGGATTTTCGATGTACAATCAGTGCTAGTGACAGGTTTAGACCTGCAACAACGCTATAACCTACCCATCCATTCACGCAAGCAAAGGATATTAGACGGTAATGCTAAGTTTCACTTTCCAGTTGTGGGATAAGTCTAATCCTCGTTCAATATAATATATAACAAATAAAACTTGACAGGTACCAGAGAAATACCCAAACAAACATCATGACTACAGGACGAGTATTAACGAAACTATGTATTTGGTTGTGGTTGATTGCTTCTCAAAATGGCCATAAATCAACCCCGTAATGCCATCCACGACAACTTACACAATACAACCTCCCTCAGGAAAGTGCTACATCTCGATTCACTATCCTGCTACCTTCTCGCAAAGGACGCCAAAGGCTGATATGTAGTGTTTACTCATTGTTGTATGGCCCTCCGATTGCCGAATCAAATATAACAATTACGATACTGATGAGTGTTTCAATATCGATGTGCTGCAATATAGTTCATCCAGTGGTGTTTTCTTTCAGTGTAGAAAATTATTTTTTCAAAGTCGTCCAAATTAACTGTTTTCCCATTTACATGTATTTGGTCAAGGTTTCACGAGAAACGTACTATTCCATGTGCACCGTTAGTAAACACCTTCCAGTCCAGTGAATGTGCTTGATTGTCGTACGTTCTATGTAATCCAGAATGGCCGTCGTTTCATTTTCTAAGGGGCAAAGATCTTGAATATCAACAGTATGCTCGAGAGAGGCAAGGAAAACAGTTCAAATTTGACGATTTTGAATATTGACGGTAGCACTATATTTGAAGTCTCTGGGGAACAAGATCCAGATGCTACACATGAGATTCTCTCTGAAGATTTTAGCCTTAACTTATGTCACACACCTTGTCCAGTTGCACTTGTTTAAACTGCAAGCATGCTTGCATGGCACTATGAATTTAAATGAAAAAATGGCATGAATCGGAATATAAATAGGTAATAAAAAGACGAGAAGGAATTATAGCTGATTATAAAATATTTTGAAAAAGTATCGAAAATTCGTAAGTACATCTTGTAGAATCCTTTCTGAATGTTTTGTTTTTTGGGAAATCCCTCCATGATTACATATTTTTGTTATGACATGACGGACTTTTTCTGTTGACATTTTTGGTATTTTATTTGATTCCAATTTGAGATTTTATCATTGTATATTGTTATTCTTTCTATATTTTGTACTTATATTGAAGTTTTTGTGTTTGCTTCTGATTGTATATATGTTGTTTAAATTTGACCTTTAATATGGCTACAGCCATATTTGGATTGATGCAGTGGCCGCTGGACTAAGTGTCACTTATCTATCGCTGTTTCTGATACTCTTCGGAGTAATTGTATCCTGGAAGGAGCATTAATTCCAGGTAATGCTTTGTATTTCCATGTCTATAATAAATAAGACCGCTTTCTCCTAGAATCTTAGTCCTTTTTTGATTTGTTGGGACCTGGGATTTGGAGAATCGAGTACAGGAGTGCACCTATTGGAACCCATTGAAACGGCCACTGTAGAAATTCATTTACAGTGTGGAATTATTCCTAAGAACATTTATATTCTGGAATTATCTATTACTTTTGATTAGAAGACCAATTACAGTTGGATTATTAAGAATTATAAAGAAACATTTGGAAATTTAATCGTTTATCACACTAAACTTCTTGATAAAGAAATCTTGGATTATTTATCGTATTTTCGTATTCGAATTGTATCTTGGATGAAGAATTTTTGATTTTGGACATCTCTTATTGAACTTATCTGTGGAATTCCTATATTTTGTATTTGTTATTTATCTTCCGTTGAACTTTACTTATAATGTCAAGTCGCAAGAAATCAAACACGAGGAGGGTGGAAGAGCTTGACGGATCCCGAAACGCTAAGCAAGTCGTTATTGATACTTTTTTAATGAGTAACCACACCGATAACACTGATGTTATGTATGATACTTATTATTGTAAGTCACCTTTGGCAGGCATTAAGAAACCAGGATTAAGTGAGAGTTCTAAGGTACCAGAGACGGATCAGATGCTTAGGACACCGATAGTAGGCTTAGAACTACCTAAGGTTGAACTTTCATTTTTTGATGGAAAGTCTCGCGACTACTTTAGGTTCATGCGTCAAATAGAAACGTTTATAGAACCCAGATTAAAAGATGACCAAGTTTGTTTATTGTATTTAATTCACTATTGTAAGGGAAGGGCAAAAAATGCGATTGAAGGTTGTATTATAATGGATCCACAAGCTGGATATAAGAGAGCTAAGGCCATCTTAAAACAGCTCTCTGGACAGTCGCATGTAATAGCCCGGGAAACCTTAGAAGACTTATATAAAACTGGGAACGCAGATTTTAATGATCCTGAGGAATTGACGAATTTGGCTATTAAAATGCAGAACGCTGCTTTAACTTTAGAACAGCTAAATTGTGCAACGGAACTTCATTCCATGGTTACTTTAGAACGAGTAGTCAGGCGATTACTGCCCTAAAAATAAAGTGTGATAGTATGCAATCTCGACGATTCAGCTTAAAACTGTCCAACCCATGTATCGACTATGGTATAGGCCTCCTACAAGCACCATCATACCTATTCAATCCTGTGTCTTCATTTCCAGTTGTATCCAATTGCTGTTCATTCATAACCTGGCAGTCATCATCTGAATACAGCAAAATCATTATCATTCATTTCGATAGACATCACCATTATTTAATACGTTATTTAGAAAATATAGGGTCCAGGCACTTATATGACCACATGATCTGGTATCTTTTACTGAGGAAGCCTGAAGTTTGAAGAACATTCCTCTTTTGTTGTCGCTAAATCATCCGGAATAACTTCTTGACAAAGAAGGCTAAGATTACTACCTTCAGAATGTGTTTTGAACCCTCCCCTGAATACTGTTTGTTTGTCTGTTCAAACACAAATACCGCAGAGAAGGTGTAGATTTATTTCGCCAGTGGCTGTCCCAATTGTTTCCAATAGAAACACTCCTGTACGTTCCTCCTAGATCCAGGTCCCAGCCAAATCAAAAGGGCAAAATTCTAGGTGAAAACGTCTCTTTATTATTATAAAATGGAAATACAGAGTCTTACGGTATTTGTGTTTCTTCCAGGACTAAATTACTCCGCAGAGTATCCAATACAATAACTAGTAAGTGACACTAAGTCCAGCAGCCACCGCGTCCATCCAAAAATGTGGCGGTAGCCATATTATATCAAATTTAAACAATATATGTACAATTCAGAAGCAAACCCAAAAACTTCAATATAAGTACAAAATATAGAAAGAATAACAATATACAATGATAAAATCTCAAATTGGAATCAAATAAAATACCAAAAATGTCAACAGAAAAAGTCCGTCATGTCATAGCAAAGATATGTGAACATGGAGGGATTTTCCAAAAACACAAAACATTCAAAAAGAATTCTACACCGG